AAACTAACTAAACATAATCTCTCGCATCCAGCCTAGCTAACGAGCAGTGGCGTAAATCAAAAATTATTGGGCTCCTTACATTTACTTACCTATAATTATAATTCTGACTGATTCGGCCTCCATTTTAGCTCTGGAACATACTTACGCCACTGTTGACGAGTTCTGGTATTGTACAAAAGGCTTGTGGGATAAAACAGATAAATCTGAAAATATATTTTTACTTGCCTGTGACTTGAAATACGAAATGAACAAATTAGATTAACATGTACACAAAAAGGGAAGCATTTGATCCTTCAAAGCTGTCCTTTCACATCCACTCTTGAGTGATGCAAAGATATAAAGAAACCGTCGATTCCCATCTTAAAATCCTGTAAATTGCTGGCCTCCACTACTGTCGGTGGCAGCTCATTCCATAAGTCAACCACCCTTTTAAAAAATAAAATGGACTTACCTTGAATCTAACCTATATTTTCCAGATCTTAAACATCTGTCCTCTGCTTTACTTTTATGTGTTTCAATGAACAGACTTTATTAACAATAATTTTATTTCCTTTTTCTTAGAACCTGGATGTTTGCTGTTTCTGGAGGTTCATTTAAGAGGAGTGTGCCTAAACAAACAAGTTTTTGTTGCGATTCAAACATTATCATTAATGTCTTTCTTAAGGACCAAAAACATTTTCACACAGTTTGAATATAAGTGAATTATTGTAATTTCTCTGTATATGTATGTATTATTTAGTACATTTAATTCATTCATTCATCGGTAGTTTTTATATGAAAAAGAGCTAAGACTTGCTTGTTGATAGGCCTACTGTGAGAGTAATTAAACCTAATAAAATAAAAGTTTTCTAGTTATTGTTTATCGTCATGTTTTTCTTTTAATTACTACAAGTTAAAGCATAGATTTATTAAAAATTAAACAAACAAAAAACAGTGTAAATCCTGTATTTGCATTTTAACTTCTTCACAATAACAGCTTCGACTCAGTGTGAAAAAAGGTAAAAATTGGTTTCCAGCTTTCATAAGGTGGAAACTGGAACAGTATGAAGTTAATTTAGATTAAGTTATTGTACTGGTTAATGATGATCTAAGAAAACACTATCATGCTCTTGAAAAAAAAATTTACCCAAAACAAACACTTTCAACAGTTTCATGGTCATTTTCGAAATCTAGCAACATGGGATGGACTCGAGCAGCAACTTTCTGGGACGAACACCCTGGTCACCATTCGCCCTTTTAAGGCAATTCTTCCATGTCCCAAGTACATTTCGCATACAATTATGGTACCTTAACTATATTGTTAGAAGAATACAGGGATGGTAAGCTGTGTCACAGGTGTGAAACGAATTATTAAACCATCGTATGTACCGCCGATCTTCCAGTGTTTAACAGCTTACACTCTAAGCACCAGCACTGTTAGCTATTCATAAACTTTAAGCTGTCACGTGATCATTGTCTTTCGTTTCACGTATTTAGTGTTGTTACGTATCTGGTCGTTTGTTAATTTCCCGTAGAAATTCTTTCCGAGAAACTTCAGTGATACAAGTCCTTTCTTAATTAAAACTAGTTTATTATTTCTCGGTACAACTTTGCAATACACAGAATTTCCACTGTCAATACGTTTGCAATCTCGATAACAAAACACACACTTTATATTACCGTCACTACCGCTCGCTTGACTCAATTATCTGTCTCTATATCTATCTTCAATCTCTCTATCTATGCAATTATATCTCCGCTTTATTTGCCGGGCTTATATACTAAGTGGGCGCCTGGAAAAGACTAGAGTTGCCAGAAAAAGTCATGATCCTTCTAGAAACTCCAGCTGGCATGCTTCCAGCGTCGCGTGACTTCCGCTGTCGTAACAGTTTGGTTATCTCATATGAAGGTAATTCTAATATCCAATGTTTTAAGATAACTGCAAAGATTTTCATTTTGACTTGTTGATACAGCAAGTATTCTTACCACATTTGTCTACTTTGTTCCTCTTTGGGTGGCATTTTAAGATGCAATTGTGCATTCCTACCAGTAGACAAGTTTGTTAAATCTTTTGTATCGAGGGGTTGGTTACAGGCACGAACAACCTTCGTGAAACTTCCATCAAAAAGAATATTTATAGCAAATTTTCTTTAAATTTTGTGGTTAATTTCATTTAATTTGGAATTTAAAGTGTTCTGAGCTTTTGATTAAAAAAAATAGGTCGACCTTATTTCAAGGTATTGGTTTTATAATAAAGTTGCAAGTCTATAATTCCAACTAGGCAGTGGTGTGATGTATTAGCTATCTGTTCTGTGGATTAACGAGTAGTGTTACTGAACAAAGGTGAAATTACTAAAGTTAAACTTTTATGAATTCAGAAAGATATGAATTTTAATTCAAAACAATTGATTACTTTAAAAAAATCACAAAATATACAACCTTTTCTTTTTAAATTATAGCAAGTATGTTTCTATATCAAAATTTATTACTCTTATTAAACTCAAGATATATTTTTGAAATTTTAACATCATGAATATTGTTACGTCCCTGTGTTTGTTTGTTAATTTTCCGTAGAAATTCTTTCCGAAGAACTTCAGCGATACAAGTCCTTTCTTAAATAAAACTAGTTTATTCTTTCTAAATTCAACTTTGCAGTACACTTAATTTCCACAGTCACTTTAACTTAAACACACGATAGAATTCACAACGATTCACGCACTTTATTTACGGCTTGACTCGATTATCTGTTTGTATATCTTTCTGTCTGCAATTAAGTTGTTGCCGTTACTTTATTTGCCAGCTTATATACTATAAGAGCGCGAGTCTAGCAAACGCTAGGACGTTCGACAGGTTCCTCGATCTTTCTAGATACTCATTACGTGTTACCAGCGTCACGTGACTTTCACTGTCGTAACAATATTGTAAATAGCTTGAACCTATATCATCCTTGCCTCAAGCAAAACTGTTCAAAATTATTTGGTTAACAAAAGGTATCTTAAAAATTCATGTGTTGCAGCAAACTGTTGGATTTGATTACAATTCTATGCATTTTTATGGATTACATCACAAATATATATCTTACCATTTTTTACAAAATGTCAATTTCATTTTTCCATTTAAATGTAAAAAGCACTTTGACAACAATTTGGTTGTAAAAATTACGTAACAAACTACCCATCAGGTATTATCAGAAGTTGAGATATATTTTTGAAACTGACTAAATACCTATTTTTGGTAAACAATAAGGGAAAAATCCACTCCTGCAAATGCTGATGAAACCTCTGGTTCATTCTTGTAATTAACTGACATACTAAAATTTATTCCGTTTTTTTTTTAACAAACAAAAATTCCTACATTATCAAAGTTTATGTTAATCGTTTAAGAAAAAATCACAAGGTAATTTACAGAATAACCTTTGAGAAAATATGTATTAATTCATTACAAACTGTACTAACCCATTCAGCAGACTTTTGAAGGGCCAATGGGTTTCTTTATAACTGATTATTAATCAGGCCCACCAACAGGGGAGGGGGGGGAATGCCTAGGGGCCCGGGCGAATGAAACCTGGTTATGCTGTAAAGCCCGCAAAGCATCTATAGGCTATATCTTCATTTAATGATAAAAACATAGTTTTTGGCTTTTCTTCACATATAGACGCTTGATACATTAAGAACGACAGAAATAATAATTTGAGTAATAATTAATATGTATTTGTTACTTTATAGATTTAATAGATATTTGTTGTTACTTTATTAACGTTTTTACACTTATAATATGTGGTAAAAATGGCTGCTATGATTTTGTCTGGTTTATGAGCTCGTTGTTGTCCTAATTTAGGATCTTCTTTTTAATAAATTCTTGAAAATGTTAAAAAAAAAAAGAGATAGGGAGCCCAGCGAGGATGTTTGCCCCGGGGCCCATGCTGGCTCTCGACATTCCTGTTGATCAAATACTATTTCTTTTAATTTTAAGTAATCACTTTAAAAATCTCAATTAATTCTCATAATTAACCAGCTATAGTGACACACTGAGAATCTTTAACAAAAATTCCTGGAGTGTCAAAGTATTTCTTTCTTATCAAATAAAAAAATTACAAATTCATAGTTACAAAAATAATTGAACTTCAATTGATATTATTTTATTAGTGTGGTCACCATAATTCACAGAAACCATTCATCCATGATAGAAAACTGTTGAGCTAATGTTGGTACATCACATTTTAATGCATGTTAGTATAAACTTGATTTATTATTCGGTCAGTGTCATGCATGTTGTTTTATATAATCACCTACATGATGCTAAGTACTCCGTTTGCCATATTTATACTGTGATGTTCATACGAGTGATGTTTGTAAAGTTGGCACTCGACCAATAATATTAAACAGGTTCCTTTGTCTCAACTGAGATCTAAACACTGTCCTTAACCTGAGAATAATAGTTTTTAAACATAGTGAACAACTCTGACAAAGAAAACAAAACATCACTAACTATTGTTTTGTGTCAAACGTTGGAGTTTAGTTTTAGGATCAGAAGAAGGTCGAGGAAAATTTTTGATTTGTTATCCTCAGGTTAGGATGAGAACAGTACTTAAAGGAACTTTACAAACAATAATTCAAATATCTATCAACATGTGTTGAAGTGAAATGTACCAGTAACAGGTCAACATTTTCCATCATAGTAAGCTCAAGACGAATGGTTTCTTTGCCTTTTAAGTACTTATAATTTAGGATAAACAATAAAAGAAATACTTCTGGTTCATTCAGGTCTATAACTTAAGGAAACCATAAATAACATCAACCAAAGCTGAATTGTGAAGATTTTTCAATTACTTCACCTTTTTAAAGAATCACAAGCTAATTTATAAAATTAATTCATTAATACCTATAATGTAATTTTCATTTTGAGTAAACAATATAAAAAAACATTTCTAGTTTGTATAAATTAAAGTGATCACACTAATGAAACGACATTGAACAAAGTTGAATTGTAAAGATTCTTTAATTACTTTGCTTTTTTAAAGAACTGTAAGCTTTCTTACAAAAAATGAACCATCAAATGCCTACTACAAACTTTTAATTTTGGAAAAAGCAATAAAAGAAAATTCTGGTTTAATTAAGGAGACCATAACAAAATAAAAACATCAAAGTTGAATTGTAAAGATTCTTCAATTACTCAGTTTTTTAAAAAAAATCACAAGCTAATTATGAAATGACCTTTGTACAAATATGCATCAATTCATTACAGATCGTATAAACCCACCTAGTATTGCTTTTTACAAAGAATCAAGAAAGATCCTTTTTTTAAAATATTTGACCAAATGCCTAAATATACTTTTAATTTTAAGTAAATAATAAAAGAAGTATTTCTAGTTCATTTCTATAATTAATTAGTTACACTGTCATCTATAATTAATCAGTTACACTGTCATAACAAGAATCCTTTTTTTAACAAATAAAACTTTCTGGACTATCAAAGTCTTTTGTTTTTTTGTTAAAATAATATAATTACTGTCAAATATTATGAAATAAAAAAAATGTATCATTCTACTTCAGGTTGTACTAAACCATCCAGCAAGTTTCTGAATGACCAATAATAATTAGAAGGTTTTAATAAATCAGTTGAATGGATCTGTAATTCTGGCATGATACCTTTTTTGGCAACTGAGGCCGATGATAAAAAACTACTATCTTTACCATCTATGCATTCTTCGGGAGGGTGAAAACAGCCCTCATTATCTTTTATCTGTGGGAACACATTTCTTTCAAATGGCTCAGTAGTTAAACCCACAGCCAAGTTGGTGTTGCATCCCAAACACTGACCTGTGGTACCAACTTTTCCCGCACACACATCTAAGTCATTTGAAATACTACTAATGGACACAGTTTTGTGAAATGTTTCAAAGTTTTCAAATTTGTTAATAAACTGTTGCTTCTGTCTATCACTAGTTGCTGAATTCTCTATTAATATTTTTTCTTGTACACAACCTATAAAAATTTCCTGTTTCTCCAGATTAGGACGCTTCAGTCTAACAGCATCGGACAAGGCCTCTCCTTTTCTTTTTTATTATATCTTTCTACTTGTGACCAAAAGTACTTGATGCATGCTCCTCTGAAATCTTCTTTTGCTACTAAAGATTCTATTTCTCCTACATCCTGCTCCTGTATAGAAAAAATAAAAGTATGGTTAGCATTTTCAACATACTTTCTAATAAACCAACACAATTACAGTACACGTGAAGCCTGTAGATACTTCACCTAACCAAGATATAGTTTTAATATCCTGCCTCTAAGTGTGATTTTAGAGCAGGACATGTTTGTCACCATGCAGTTATGATCCAGCTGAACTCTTAACAATTGTAAATCACCTGACCTTTCTGGCTATCCCTTTCAACAACCAGCCAGTTCAAGACTTCTATGGATGTATCAGAGATGGAGGGAAAAGTGGCAACCATGCCTTTGTTAATCCCAAAGAAAGCAAACCTACAAGTGGCCTACCAACAGTTAACCCTACCAAACAGACTCCCGTGACAGTTGAATCAACTTTTTCATTGAGCAAACACAGGGATTCACTCCTGAAATTCTCCGTTGGAGATTGCAACGTGTTTAAGCATCAAAAATGCCTGCCAACTCCAGAATTTTGACCACTAGGTCCAATGCCAAAAACATGACAACAAATACCATGAAAGTCCAAGCGAGTCCAATGGCTCATAGACCTTCTACACCATTGCTGAGAATGAAGTCCACAAGGGGGTATGGATGTTAAATAATTTCACTGAGTGATTTACAACTTGAGTGGTAAGATTATTAGTTAGACAATAAAACAATCAAATTAAGTATAAATAGATGTAGACTGTAACGAGCATTAAGCTATTTCAAATAAACAATTTTAGTTTTCCTTTACAATTTGACTGACCTTATAACCACCAGAAAAAAATATGAAATAATTCTAAATTACTCCTTTTTTTCATTCTACAATGGCTGCAGATATAGAGTTAGGGTAGAGAAAATAACAGTTAAAATATAAGGTTTTACTGAAAAAAAAAACATTTGTTATTAATTTAGGAGGTTTCAGATGAAAAAAGTATTTTTAATCTTAACATGAAAATCACTTTGCACTCAATATATTCACAGGCAAATCTTTAATAAAATTACATAATTAAAAAAATCTGATTTTTGTGTACAAAAGACTTATAATGTTTAATGAAAGATTGCCAAATTCTGTGAAGATATATGAAACATATTAAAAGTTATAGTATGGAAACTCTGATGGTTACAATGTCAATCATATCAACCGACCCTGTAAGGATACAGTTAATATATTGTGTCATCTATGTTGCGTGTAATAAGTGCTTACAGGGGTGAATCAAGTTATAATACTCCTTGACCATGCAAGTCTAAGTTTATATATTTAATTGATTTTAAAGTATGAGATTAATGTCGCTTGAGGACAAGCTTGAAATACGAAAACAGAGAGTGTGGTATGGAGGAATAAGATGCATTTTCTACCTTTTTATATTTTAATGTAGAATTTTCCAATATTTTTCATTTATTCAGGTATATGTGCAGTTTTCACATATAACATGGTCAAGAGAGTCATTAAATTAATTTCATTCTAGTTACCCTTGAAGATAAAAAATATATCACCTGGTTTTCCCATGGAATATATATAGCTGTAAAGCTGCCCCTTGTTCATGAAGGTCAACAGCAGTGTTCTCCAACAGTAGTTTATGTAATATCTTGAGGTTACAACCTCCCTTATAGTTGAACAGGTATGCCTAGTCATGCGAGTAGCATTAGCCACTGAAGAAGTCTGATGTTATTGAATCAACTAAATAACTGGAAGTTTAGTCAGCCTGAATCTGTGTGTGTGTGTGTGTGTTGTTTCTTTACAGCAAAGCCACATCAGGCTATTTGCTGTGTAAACTGAGGGAAATCAAACCCCTGATTTTAGCATTGTAAAATTCGTAGACTTGCCTTTTTCCCACTGGGAGACAGCTTGAAACATCATCTTAAGTATGTCAATCAGTTTGGAAATGCATCTTGAGGGAGTATACCTAGCCAATTCATCTCTCCAGTAAAGGCAACAATCTGTTGTTCAAATGTAATGTACACATAATGTTGCTTTGTGTTGTCTAAATAAAGATTTTTACATTGTATATGAAACATCTTGTCCAGCCCTCCACTTATAAAATGCAGTGTTACTTTGCAGTATATCATACATATAGGGGGGACATAGATGTGTAAGTCAATAGATTAAAAGAATGTGTGTCATGTGTGTGTGATTATACACAAACACATATTTACAAGTGTAATAAAAAATACGAAAAATATTTAGTTTAACTGTGATGCTAAACTTACATCATAATATGTCCAATTTTTTGTGAAATGCAAGGGGGAAATTTGCTGCTGATTTATACATACTGATTCATAGGCTTAGTATGTGTAACTGTACTTTAGGCTTAGGTATATTTCAATTTACTTGTAAATCATAAAATAGGATAAATACATTGTTTTATTAAATAAATACATTCTAAAAACTAGTTTATTGTCAATTGGTGTTTTAAGAATTAACTTGTTTACTTGAACTTAGAGCCATTAGTTTAAGTTCAGCTTATAGATATAGGAATATTAATCAGGCTACTAAGAACATTTTATTATTAATGTTACGTATATTGTTCTAATAAATTATTAAGTTCAGTTTCTAAATTATATATATATTCAAAGATAAAATTTAAGACTTTTATGTGAAGGCAAAGTAGTGATAAAAAATAACTGGTTCTTAAACATTAGGCTTAACAGTAACAGTGTTAACAACTGGCTACTGGTGATGAGTATTTATTTTCAGGCTGTAAGTATAAATACAATGGTTAACACTAGTGTAGAAGTAAAGTTTGTTAGGCGTAATGGGTGCAATGAGTGGGTTTTATTTGGGAACTCGGTACTGGCATGCACTTTTAAGGAAGCTAGTTATGAAGATGTAAAATTCTCATGTAGAGTTTGTAGGTTATTAAATTTTGGCTTTTCCTCGGTTTTACTAACAAAGATTTAAGAAGAATTCCACATCTTGAACAGTTGATAGATGGAAACAAGATTAAACAAGATGACTGCATTAATTCTGAGCTGGTTAAGAAAAAATTGGGAAGTTTAAAGAACGATAAGGCTCCTGGGCCAGATAATATTTCCCCAAGTGTTTTGATAGAGGTTAAAGATTGGATATGTGAGCCACTTGTTACTATTGTATTGTCAGTCCTTGAACAGTGGCCAGGTACCAAAGGATTGGAAGTTAGCTAATGTAACTCCTCTTTTCAAGGGAAG